TCCAATGGTTTGAATGAGAGGAAATAAGAAAATAAGGTACCGTGTTAATTGAACACTTTTTAATTAAAATATGTTTTAAACAAAAGAACCATGGGTATTGTGTTTGTGTATAATATACAGTATTATAATATAGTATTGTGCTTGTAAAAAAATAGAAACCCGATATAATATATTAAACGTATATAATATTCTTATTCAACAACAAATTAATTGATTTAGTGATGTACTTATACAAAATTGTTATGTTTATGTGGTTACACTAATATAATTTTGCTAATATCTCGAATGACTAATCTTTTAAAAATCATTAGTTTTATTTGAGTGAATTGTTGATAACTCGAGATACTTTGTAATCTACCTTAAGGAAGTTTCCTCGTCTCATTTTAACTAAAACAAAACATGGTGTGAACTTTGTCGTTGAGAACGAAAAGACAGCAGAGTAGTCTAACGATTTTGGTGTGATGTTATTATTGTTCCTCCTCTACCACGCCGGCGTGTTCATGTAACCAATTTTGTCTTTATATAGCACATAGAAAGCAATAACCTTTGATGGGGAAAAGGCCGCCGCGTATTGGATGTTTTAATAAAAGTTTAAATTGAAAACGATTCGTAGCCGAGGCCATGAGGGAGATGAAAGTTTTATAATATTATTATAATAAATATCCGCGGAACGTAATCGTTATGCGAAGCGAAAAAGGGCTCTACTCTCCCCGATTGATTATATATGTATATTGTATACATGTCTTCGTCTTCCAACGTTTTTAAACGAGTTTCGAGCGTATTCTCTCAAGTTTACTGACATCAAAGTCACCTTATATAATAGATATTATACATGTTACACAAGGTCGGAAAAGTCGAACAAATTAGAGAATAATATCAACTTAAGCTGGCGAACACATTAATGAAATTTGCTTAAATTCGATTTTCATTGAATGACATAAATTTGACGTGCTATAACATTAGTTTCATAGTTATACTTTCGAATAACACACATAACTACTACCTTCACTAACTAATGGCTTCACATGAATTTTAAGATCGTAAACTGGTATACATTTACGAATCATATGATTTATTATACATTATTATTATTATTATGTTGACTATTATTTTTTTTAATGACTTTAATTTGCTGTTCTTTGTAATATTAATGTTTACTTTGAGCAGTCGTATTCTAAATTGCAATATTGTATCGTTTCAATACACTAGATTTTTTTTTTTAGTTTTTTTTACATATTATGAAAATTACTTAAATTTTCATAACGAAATAAGGATCTCTTCTGAAATTGTAATGGGAATGTTTTTATACTTTATTTTGGAATATAGGTGCTTTTATAATAGGCTAAGATTTTCAAAGCCTCCAATCTACATCAACAATCTTATTATATATAGTAAATCAACTTAAGATTTTATTTAAAAAAAAATTACTTTCAAGTGAATAATTACTCCTTTTATATTATATAGTCATGTATCGCACTTCCTGCCAAGTCATGTGGCACCCCTCTGGTCTGTACACAATACAATTGCAGCTGTATGTAATATTTAAATATTTTACATGCATATAGATACGTATGTAGGTACTCGTTCATATTATAATATATCGTTTTTATTCCACACAGAGTTTTTTTTCTATATGTTCCAATTAATTTTTAAACATGCGTGTTCATTAAAAACTCTATTCTTGATCGCACTGCACTTCCGTTTGTTCGAAACCACTGAATTACTTTTCGAGTGTATTTCTGTTTGATTTTCAGAATCATTTATTTGACTTTGATGTCTTTTTTAAACTCCATTTAGTTACGCACCACAAAAAGTCAACACTTTTTTTTCGATTTGTTTATGGCGTGGGTGCTCCTCTTACTCCTTCTATCATGACTTTGGAAATTTAATAATAATATAATAAAATAATACAAATAAAAAATGCCACTCTTTTCCCTTTTACTTTGGTATTATAAGTGCGCGATTTTCACTCTTTACCGACGGTATACTGTAATTGGCGGCTCGAGTCCTCTAATGACTTTATCAATAATAAAATACGTAAAAGAATAAATAATAAAAAATCAAAGCCTGATAACGGTTCGGCTAACTCGTAAACGTTAAAAGAAAATCTTTTGATTTAAAAAAAAACCCACATCTTTGGACCGTAAAATCGGTGATTTTTATATGTGCTTCTCGCCTTTTTTTACAAAGCGAGTTTTAAAAGTTTTAACGAGACTGCCATTTTTTTTACGGGCGAAATAAAAATATTATATTGTCATGTGTAAAAGCTAATCTCGGTATTTGATTTTTACAATTTATAAACGATGTCAACATAACGATCTTGAAAACGGCGACAATCGTTTCAAAATTATTCTAGCTGCAAAAAAAAATTGTATTCTAATATTATTGTATGTGCCTTTTATTATAAAATATAAATGTGTTAGATATTAATGATCCATTAGTAGAGTTGAGTCGTTAGTAATAACTGCTTATTTAGAATATGTTTTAATTTAATTCTAACTTATGTATCTATTTAATATATGATACGTATGGAAATGTCAACTGATAATTACTATTTTTTTTCACAAATATTTATATTATTATAGCTGTTATTGTTATAATAAACAATTTAGATACAGTGTTTGGTGTATTTCGATTTAAGTGCAATAATACTTCATGAGCCAGTCGATTTAGGTGTACATCCCCCCTGTAAACAACACAGATTTTTCGCTCAATTTTCTGGGGATAAGGTTTGGGTCTATTAAACAATTGTTAAACCCTGCTTTAAGGTGAGATGGGTAAGTGACAGAGCCAACCCGTGACAAAAAGTAAGTAGTAGTTTTAGTCATATATTTTAAAGCTTATTCATATATTATACAATTATTTATACAAGTCGCGTTCCTAATATTAACATGGAACATGAATTGTTACGTATTAATTGTTATGAATAAAATATACTATTGACTTTGCCACAGGTTTAGATTTTAATGCTTTAAAATTGCATACAGTTTTCAGATTGTTGATTGCATATCGAATTTTAGTAAATAAGTGGTAATCCTATATGTCATCCTACTTTGCTGTTCGGGCTTATATACCGATAATGTTCCGCGTGCTTATGAAAATTAAATGGAAAATCTAATAAAACAAATGTCGCTCGGTGTGGTTATTTATAACGGATTGGTGTAATAGGAGGTAGAGGAGTAGGCGGGTTCGGTCAATTTGTTACCCTTTTAATTAACGTTTGGGAAAACTGGGAAAACGCGAATATGGAGGACCCCCTTTTTGATAATGTATTGCCCTCTCCCGTGCACGCATTATAAAATGACACTGGTTAATGAAATTCTTGTTCTTCATTAATACAACATTATGTGTGTACACATATACACCGGGATAGTAATGTGTGCGCGTGTGTGGGTATGTGTATATGCTTCTATTTCGGCGGCCTTCTTCGGCAGAGCACACAAAAGGGACGACCCTGAAAATTTATGTCTTCCGAGAGACTGGAAACTATGTGCTATTATCCTTTGGTTACACACACGCGCGCGCCCTGGCGTAAACACATTCCGAACGTAACAACATTTTTGTAGTGCCGATCCATCGTAGTAGGAAGGAGATAAAACACTTCAACTGCGTATGCACTGATAGTACATTATCATGTTTTACAATAATTTCCAACATATATCATAATAAATAATATGTACACCTTTGTTCATATTGTTTATTAATTTTGTCGTCAGTAATAATAATTTATGTACCTAATACCTATCTAATTTAATTGTAGCTATTAATAATAACTGTTCACAGCAAAAAGTCAGTCTATGCACTAAAATCTATATATTATAAATTTACAATAGCAAGTACTGCAATTGTTAATATTGAATTCCACACAATTCATCTAAAATAAAATATATATTATTTGTATTTAAAATTTTAAAAATGTATTCCTTCGTGTTGTGTGGTAAATATTTAAAAATGCACTGTGCATTTATCAGTAAGGTACAGTTTGAACTTTTTAATATTCGATACTACCATCAACTCACCATAATATTATTTATTTTTTAAATTTAAAAAGTGTTGTGTGCGTGTGATACTACAGATTATCCGTAGTAATAATTAAAAGCTAGTATAATATATAATATACAAAATCATAATTCAATCCAATGCAATTTTTTTAAAAACAAAAAAGATGGTTTTAGTCCCTGTTTTAATCGTAATATTGTATACCAAATTACATTATCGATTATCGAATCATACTATATTAGTGGTATGGGTAGGCGCAAGTTACAACTGCAGTATATTGTTCAATAAGAAGCTAAAACTGATTGTCCCAACGAGTGGCTTGAATTGATAAGCGGTATGCAATTAACCGAATGCATTGAAATGAAAAGTTGTAAAGAATTAGAACGTCCTGCCGATTCTGTAGCCACCGGTGGCCGTCGGTTAACTATACAACAATAATATTGTTGTTGATTTCGATAACACACGGCGGTTGTGTATAGGCAATTCAACTACATTCTGGTCTGCGGTGGCGTTGGCTTAGGGGAAAATGCGAATGCGGACATTCGGTGTATCATATAGTAATAAAGTCGTTTTACTATGTATTATTGTTATTATTTTATTTTCAAAAGACAACTTCTGCTGAAACTGAATCATAATATCGTCGTTTGGGCTGGTAAACAACACGCAGAGATAGGGTTTTTTCAGATTTCCATTTTTCTTTTCCCGACCGAAGGTAAATGCCGAGCTTTTTAATCCTTCCCCTTTTCAAAAAAGGATTATACGACACGTAGAACAAAAACCTGGAGGGAAAAAACTCACAAGCTCCCGTGCAAATACGCGTATATATATATTTGTGTATTTAAAAACGACGCCACATGTCCCTTACTTACTTACTAATCCCACTGGGTCACCGCGATATTCTTTACCCTTCGGGATAGGCTTAAGTGCATATAATATATTAATTTATGATATGTTTTGTTAATTTTTTTTTTGTTTTTTATAACCAAACGTTTTTTTTTTAGAAACTGTTCCCCGGATCCCCGCCTCTATTCGACGTTGACGAAATATTGATCAATGAACCGGGCACTCTGTGTGCGCTTGTAGGCTCCAAAGGCGTATCAGTGATGAGGTTTCCGAAACGGATGGGGTCTAAATCTCTGTACGACACTGGTGGCAGTCAAGGAGACGGCATAACGTGCAGGTAAAAATGATACGTGAATTATTATGTAAATGGGATTCTGCTGCGTGGACCTAAAAGAAAAGAGAAATAAAAATAATAATAATAATAAAATGAAGGAGAAATATAAATATAATATATTATATGTACGTCTAGCGCGGAACCGAGGGAATCAGCATAAATTAGCTTCAAAGCAATATAGCTTTGTGTGACAGAAACATTGGGGTTTTACTTGGGTGTAGACCGGAGGACGTGAGGTCTTTGATAGGAGGAGATTTCATTAACGGTCAAAAAGTCCAAGAGCGTTCTTTTGACGTTATGGAAAATAGGAAAAGCCCCCGCGTGTCCGCCAGCCCGGAAAATTAACCCTTTGCCGCCGACGTCGTATCCACGTCACGAGTATGTATGACAGATCAGATAAAAATATCTAAATTATACGAACCAAACAATAGTATGTCCCCGATAGTCTATTGTCATACACGCGTTTTAGTATGTGCGTGAGGTCGATTTTTTTTCCCTCAAAATTCGATTATCACCCCTATATACATAAACTTATAACTTTTAATGTAATATAGCTTTTTGTTATCATATTATGTCGCCGTATGCGGTTCATATGTTAGGTATATATTATTATAGTTTTTTTTTGTGTGTTGTACCAGAATCCTTTCACGATAAAATACCCTTGTTTATTTTTTTATAACCACTTAACTTTAGTTTATAAGTAAATAATTTTGGATTCGTCTGTATATAGCAAACTATAAAATGTACACGCTATAATTATATAATGTAGGTAAATAAGCTATTAACAACTTCTATTATATAGTAACAGGTTTATATTATAATTTCGTTGCCTAATACAATATTCTGTTCACCTTGTTTGATGTACCTACCTGTAATTGTATCTAAAATTAAGTTATGAGTTCAGCTAAGCAAAATAATTATATAATAAAATAATAATGACAAAATAAAGTACTCAAATTACTCAAATTAAAACAGATTTTTTAGCTACACAACAAACATAAATAATATCTAAAAACCCCTTTTTTACTTTATGAGGATAATTGTATACATTAACGCTATTTTCTGATTTGCATTTTATGACAATTGTTTTCTAGTATAATTTATTTTTGTTTTATCTTTTTTACATAATATTAAGTAGGTATATAGTTATACGAAAATAAAATTACGTTGTATTCGTTATATTAACGAATGACGTAAGTCATAATTTATAAATTATATAGATAATCTTATTATCTACTTTATCAACTTAACTTCCTTATTGTTGTTTATTTATATATTATGTGCACTGGCTGTACTGCACTGCATCACTTGCATACAATGTAGATCTACAACTATGCTATTTTATGTATTACTGGCAATATTTTTAATTTCGTTTGCCTAATGTAATATGTACAAAATCATTTTATAATTTATTGAAATTTATTAATATCTTAAAGCATCGACAAGTTGATGATAATTAGTTTATGATCACCTAATAAAAAAATTTATTTCAAATATATTTAGTTGGATAATCATAAACGGTTTTTACTTGTTTTTAAATATATTCAGTAGGTATGTGTTTATTCGAGCAAAAGTAGATTGTTTTTTTTTCAAAATCATACTTCAATTTTTAATTTGATATTCGACTTAATATAAGATAAATACTGCAATTGACCATGGTATTCTATACCACATCCTCATTATCTTCTTATTTGTCACGTAATTTCGTGGGTCAATATATAAGGTTAGCCTTAGTCATATAGACATAATATTTGGGCATTGTACATTGTCCCTATAAAGATCCCTCCTATTTTTCAGATCCCGGTAGATTCATTTACATATCCTAACTTGAAGATTATATTAATCGGCTTATGTATGGTTGGAACAACACAATATACATCACATGATTAGCGACTCTTAACCTTAACCGTTTAAACAAAATAATTAATACTAAAAATAATATTTAAACTTGCCCAACAGGTAAATACTATGTATTAAAATTTATACATATAATAATATTAATTAATTGATTTAAGCTAGCTCATATTTAACTATAGTACCTATTATAATATTACAGGAAATCGTTTAAATAACTTAAGTCAATTTTTATAAAATACCTACACTTTGTTACACCAGAAGTATAATACTTAAATCTATAAAAAAAAGGAATATAATATTTTCAAATGAACGTTAAGGATTAAAATCTAATCTGGTTTATGATTGGAAATTTCATGTTAGAGGAAATATATCTCCATTAGTCCATTGAGAGTGGAACTATATAACCAAATAGCGGTATTCATAAGGACGTTTAGGGACTGGAACTACAGATAGGTATATACCATACGGTTATATAATAAGGGGTTTTGGGAAAACCGAGTTCCGGATTGGCTCCTGGTGAAATATTAAAATTAGTATTCTAAATCCATACGTATTCTCTGTGTGTAATATACCCGTTTCCACCAACCGCAATCTGACCGCAGGAATCACGAATGTATATACGCCTCCTTTCGGTGGCCAGTTTCGCGGTCGCATAATAAATTAAGAATTTATACATTATTGTTGTGTGTCGGGTGGTTTCCCAGGGTCCAAAGGGTATAAATGAAAGCACGTGAGATTAATGTTAAAAATCCCACAGTAGTTTGTTTAGGACTTTTGGATATTGTTATTAGCCACACCGCCAACCGTCCGTTGGGAAATAATAATATCGCGTTACGATCAATATTTAATAGACTCTCAGACAATTAAAAATTATAATACTTGAAAAACTTTTGTCTTACCGTTACAATGCGTCTAATAAATAATATGCATTCGTATGAAAAAAAATAATACAGAAAATAAATTAGATATAGCCGTATAGGTGTACAATTAGAACGCAATTAGATATTATCTAATAAGTATAACTCTACAACAGTTTACTGATAAATGTCTTTAGCTTTATGATTCACAATTTTAAGTCATCGGAAAGGGAGTGTCCCTGGAAGTATGTTGGAAAAAGATAATATCAAATGAATTTATGTTAGTGTGATTTTGAGTATAATATTTTATAATGTTTAGTGGCTAGCTAATTATAATTTAGTGTATCTGTTTTTAAATTGTTATTAAACTATAAACTGGAAACTTTAACTTGGTGATATCTACCAAAGTAGCAGCAGTTTCGCCGTAGGTATGTAAAAATTATTTTGTCATTAAATAATATAATATCTTGTATATTCTCAGTAGATAAACATACAATATATACTGACAACTTACAGTTAAAATTGTAATTTGTATAGGTACTATATATTATCGTCAAATTGATAAACTGAGATACTTAAAACAATTAATAATCAACAAAAGAGTTAACTACCTATGATAAAATAACTGTTCAATATTTAAAATTATTTAGTTTGTGTATAGTTTTGTAGATACTATAAAGTTAGGTACATAATACATTTATATATAAATAGCCAATAAGAACCATGGTTATTACATAATATACATGACGTGTAGAAAAGTTTTTGGTATCAATAATAGTAGTTGATGATGAATAGTATAATTAATTACGATTATCTCAAACTTAATTTCAAACATTTAGCAATAAATATAGTAAATAAATATATATATATATCTATATATATATACTGATTGATTAGTCACAAGAAGGACTTTAAAATGCTGTAAAATTATCTAATGTGATAATTAGATGGAAATCGAAAAAGTGATTTTTAAATATTTTGTCATTATTGTTTCTCCAAGTTTAAACCTCCATTCATTTTTTCCTTTGTATTACCTCACTATCTTATATAGGATGTAATACGATTCACTAATTATATTGTTCTCTCTGCTTGTAAATTATGTATTTTTACAATAATTGACAATTGCGACAGTGTTACCAGATACCGCGTGAGGGTATTTTACTTCGTTTTCAGAAAATTACCAAAACAAAATAATCGTTTATGTGTATTATACATTTATACATATGCATAATAGTAATCATATAATACTACAGAACTTTTAAATCAAATAGTTACAATAATATATTTAAAATAATATTTTACTTCAATGTCGTGAAAGAATTTTATTTTAATAATGAAAATAAAACTATTCTAAAATTTTTGGAAAAGTTTGAAAACAAAATTAAAATTAAATATATTATTTTATAAAATGCAAATTTAACAACATTTTTATATATATTATTAGTACCTATATTTATTTGTCAACTCGTTGCTTAAGTTTGTTATAATGTTTAAAAAAATAGGAAGGTAGGTACTGTTGTTAATATTATTAGGTATTATGTCATCGCATACCACATTACCACGTATGTATAATCTATAGTTTATGTAGGCCACGATTATTTGAGAAATATATTTTCAATGATTGTTAGGTGAAATAGAGAATTTTCTTATGTATAAATTGAATTTATGAATCAAAGTAATTACCGTGTTCCGTGTTTGCATGCAAACCAATAATATAATATTCTTAATAACGTAACGACTAACTATATAATATACGGCAGTGTATAAGAAGTAGTAGTACACATTTGTACAGTTTTAATAGCATTTCAAATACCTATCCAAACGATGTTTATTGAACGATACAATATATTTAATAACCGTTTTCGGCAATTATTACACATAAACTAGAACGTTGGTGACTGGTGTACACAAAACGACATGTACGACGAGAAATAATTGTTATCAGCCGTACATATATTTATACGTCATACCTCCGGGGTTGTGTATTCGTTTGACGGTGTGCACACATATATATATATATATATATAAATATGTACATAAATCTAACTAATAAGTAATTATTATTCACGACGGTGACGTTATTATTATTACCGTATATTCGTGATATAGGCGGTTTTCCGAACATCGCGAGCCCTCTATAAAATATTATTATGCCCATATATACACATACACACACATATATATACCTATACTTTTCAGCTGTCTCTAATACGCACGCACGCACGCACGTCAAATCCACTATCTTGGGCTTTTGAACGCCTATAAAAACCACACCGCGATCTATATAATATATGTAATATCGCACCGCCGGTGTGGGTGGGGGTGTAACCATATTATACACCTACACGCGCGCTGCTGCTGCTGCTGCTGCTGCTGCTGCAGAGAAGAACGAGGGTCGCGTCGTTCGGAGAACTTTTAATGAATTCCATAAATAATAGACGAAACTTCTTTCGATAAGAAACGGCGATGACGGGTTTTTATAGGTTGTCCGGGGGCCGGGCGGAACCACGGATTTCGCGGTGGCGGCTCACGTTATATTATATAAGTCTACCGGAAGCTGGGGAGCCCGGGGGCCACACGTGATCCGCAGCGATTCTTAATGATACCTCTTCCGATGTCTCGGCGGGACCCGCGTGTATATATAGTATATAATGTAGTCCTGGGCTCGGTCGGTCGCTATACTTTATCTGAGCGCGAGTGTACACGCAAAGCGTTTAATAAAGAACCGCCGAGTATCGGATGACGCTCACATACTTTTGTTTTCGGCGCGCCGAGTGTATTTTACGAGCACCGGAACGGCGATTAACTTTTACGCTAATGGACCGGCTATTAAGGCACCGTTGCCGACGCCATCGCCACTGACACTGCAACGTCCACCGGCTCCCGATAGTCGATATATACCACCAAACCACTTTTTATACCGTGACCATGCTGTACTACTACGAACGCACAGGCAGCCCGTGACATCCCGTCAAATAGACGTTACTGGTGTAAAATATGTGTGTGTTTATGCGACTTCCCGGCTCAGTCGTACCTATACACTATACAGCCGTGCCATACAATAATATTATAATGAATTATTTCAAAACACTAAAATTTCAGTGCGGTCTACAATATACGTCTGAAAATGTTATACTAAATAATAAAAATTAATTACTCCGTTATGAACATTTTAAAGAAATATTCATTTTCCATTGCATAAAAATTAATCAACCCAATATTTAAGTATTTTATATGTTACTATAATACTATGTATAATTTAATATACTGTCAAATTGTGCTTATAGTATATTATTTTATGTTTTAAAAGTATAATAAACTAGTAAACTACTCATTTTGTTTGTAACCTACGTATATGACAGAATTCAAAACATTTTAGAAACAACTATTTCCAAAATTCTAATTAATTATCTTTATGCGCGTGGTCTCGTATAGTAGGTACTTTATATTTTACGATATTTTATTTATCTGATAAAGCACGAAATTTTTAAGGTAGGTACCCGAAAGTTTTTATTATAATATATTTCATTTCACGCATTTTCTAGTCCGTTTGGTTCTTTTTCGAGAGGGGTGTGTACACTCGGCTGCTTAACGCGTGTTTTATTAAAACTGGGCCAAAAATCTTTTGCTCCGATTACTTTTCATCCAATTTTGGCCGGAAGTAACGCGCAATCAAATCCGCGCGCTTATCAACAAAGCGGTACATCCGGCGTGACTTGCCAAGAGTACACACCCTTTTTGTGCTCCTGACGTTTTCGAAATATCGGTAAAAAGAGGGACGAATTGACGTTGGCTCGGTGTCATTCAGCACTAATTGACGGCCGGGAACCGAGTGAAAAACAAATTAGAGTTTGTACATAATTTATACACACGAATAATAGATACTCGAACGGTATTGCGATAATGCGATGGACGTGATAAAAACAAAAGTAGGTTATGCTAAAAACAAAAAAGGGGTGAACAGTTAGCTTGTGGGTGCATAATTTATTCGAATAAAATATTTATATTATCATCTCGATCAATCATCAATAGTCAGCTGATTCCAGTTTCTGTAGACCATATTAGTATATTTTCCTTTTTTTTATTTAAATAATTATCATGGTTTACTATTATTTTATGGCGTTGCTTATAGTGCTAGAACGCCTTTAATAATGAATGAAAAAAATGTAAGCCCACAAAAAAATATACATGTGTTTCTCAAAAATATTATTCAAGAAATATTTGATCTAATCTTTCCTAACTGCAATTATTAGCAATTTCTTTACGTTTTCGACGACGATGTGTAGGTAGGTTATTCGCCACTTTCTCGTTATCGCGTGTGTACATTATTAAGATCAAAAACGGGGAAATTGAACGCGTTGAAAAATGAATATGTTCAATCACTTTATATAATATATTCCACCATCTCACTTATATTGATGGGCGCCCATAAGTAAAATTTTAGGTAAGGTCATAATAAAAAATTCTCTAATGTTAGATAATAATAAAGATTTATAGTTTACTAAAAAACATTTTAATCATTATAGAAAAAAAATAGTGTATTTTTATACTTATTTCATATCCTAAAAGTGATTTCAAAAAATAATTTGTCTCTGAAATTAGGTAATACGTCCTATTGAACTAAAAATTCATATTTTTTACCCCAGGGGTGGGGAGTGCCATGATCTTGCCCCACCAAATGAGCGCACATGCCTATATTACCTATTTATTATACTGTGATACGCTTGTTTGGTGTATGTCTTGCTGCTACATCGTACTAGTGTTACGGTTACCATCGGTCGCCAGCGAAATACATAATTGTTTATTAAATAAATAATTAAATAACAATACATTTACACGAGAGAGGAACTTTGTCGTCGGGTAGAATTTTATTCAAGTCCACTTCCATAATAGTAAACTCTGTGTTGCCGGTACAATATACTATAATATATGCCTATTCCTGTATATTATGTAATATGTATATTGTATATTGTTTATAATATACTGAACCATCATATCCGCCTCTGCACCTCGCGGCGGAGCCACGCGAACTTTACTAATAACGTTAAACTTTATTGACTTAACAAATTGTAACAACTGTGTATATGGTTTCTATTCGAAATTCGGCTGATTTATTAATGACTGTAAAACGCATGGTTTCCTAATGAATTTCACTATAGAATGAAAAGCAAATCCGAATCCCCTCGTATTTGTTTACGAACGAAAATACCAGCGCGCAATTACATTTCGACCGAGATGAACCCTCCGAGTGAATATTCTGCAAATTATCTTATATGCCGTACATGCGTCGTTGTTAAAAAAATACAACAACAAAAACATTTTTGCTCTGTCAACGACCGACTTAGGTCGTCCTCGCAATTTCAAATTTGCTCCGTCTCGGTAAACTTCCAAGTGCGCTTTAAACATCCGTTATTGTATCGTATCCAAACGCACTGCGTACGTATATACACGACATAATCGTCTTCCTGCGTTATTAAACGCTACGGGGCGAATTACTTAATTCTTTTACAATTTTATACACGAAATACTCTCTTTCTATAATTGTTTGCAATTGTGTCTTCTCTGACTTTATATTGTGTTATAATTATATTGATGGTTTTATTCCTCTATTTAATTTTTAGCTTTTAGTTCGTTAAGTTATGTGATCATAAAAAAAAGCAATTTAATTACGCTCTTTTGATGCCAATTCATACAATTTATACAACTTTATCTAAACAATACATCACTCGGTACAGTATAAATTGTTTTTCTGGAGAATTCGCGAAGATAATATATTTTTTATGAGTTTTAACCATTATATTTTGACAACGTTTACGGGCGTTTTAAATTATCAAAGCCAGAAAACATTTTTAAATTCCTTAAATGCGTTCTATAAACAGTGTTATAATAGTAAATTTGTGTATTTTTGACGAATGAGATGATTAAAAAATATACTTGTACTTACTTAGTTCCTATTTAAATATTTCAAAATCATCATTGCAATATGCTTTTAAAAAAAAAATTAAGTGAATAAGGAATCATTTATTAAAAAAAGATTTTGGGGCGTTTATAATTGGATGAATATCATGATATAGTTGCAAGTTGTAACTATCTACCTATACAAAAAAAAAAAATTAAAACAAAACAAAACTTTGTAGCACATTATGTATTATTAAGACGCGATAAATTTTGATTTACGCCGAAGCTATAAATATCATATTATAGCTGGTTTACGTGTTCTTACCTATTTATACTACGATCTTAATAAATTTATCGTATTTTTCGACAACTGTATACTTATCGACACCCCATAATGTTTGTATCTATACTGTATATATTTTTATATCATATATAATTTTATTTATTCTCAGCACATCGCTTCTGCAAGACAAATTCTTCATAACCAAACACTTGACGGACGTGAAACGAGTCCGGTGGTATCCAGGCAGCCCCGAAGACAACCACCTCGTGGTACTCACCAACAACAAAAACTGTTTGCGGCTGTTCAAGGTTGACAAAGGCACTGGTAAGCTCGTGTCTATTTGGCGACTTGGCCCGCAGACTTCTCGGATATTGGCTTCGTTGGGCGACACGGCTGTGGACTTTGATTTTGCTCCACCCATACTCCTCGGCAGCCGAATCCAATCGGATCCGTCAATCATGTGGCCCATACTCGTGTTGCAAGGAAACGGTAAGATAATATGGCATAATATTATGATATGGTTGACACTCGAATTTTTCTCAAAGTTGCACTGAAGCTGAATATTTCTTTGTAAAAAAATATAGTTAAATAAAGTTAAATAAATAAATAGTAGTATAATATGTAGACGAATGGCGGCTAAGTAAAAGGTGTCCAAGGACTTAAAGCAACTTAAAAATTTTTACCTGATACTAAATGTGGTCAGCCTTAAGAAATCAAAAATACATTTTTATTTCATTTGTTTAATACCTACAGTCTATACACAACGTTATGTATGAATTTTATGGATACATAATTGTAAACATTTGCTGCAGTATTTTAAAATATTTATTTATTATGATTTCAGATTAAATTTAAATAAATTAAATTCCCGGTTACTAATGTCTTATGTGTTCAAACTTTCAAATATTCCCAACAGTATATAAGTAAATTTGGTAGTAAAGTTAGTATATTATTATTAATTTTACTTTTTATTATAAACAAATTGATTTTCATATACTGTAAAAGCTTTCTTTTTGCTATGAAATTATATTGTAACTGTTATATTTGTACATACTTTTTGTAAATGGAGTTTTTTTTCTCCGTTAATAAATAAATAAATACTGTAATGGAGTGGACACATAATTACGACCAAATCTTTTTTTACCGAAGTTGGGAGGGTGGTGTCAATAAGTGTCAAAATGTGCACTACAGTGTATATGTGTTTTAGTTTTGAATATCCGAGAACTTTAATAATGGTTTACAACTTATCTATACATGTATTATACTGTGATTCGCAGGTGAAGTTTTGTGTCTGAACACAACCGTCGACGATTCGATGAACATAAAGTCAGACAAAATAACAGGTCCGCTGACCATGTACCCGCCTGCCGACGACAACTACAGCGAGGACGCCTGTTCCATTCTTGTCATGGACACCATACCACCCTCGGTTGTTATAGCGTCAAATTTTGGCGAACTGTACAATTGCCTTCTGTTGCCGGATACCCAAGCCAAAGTCAGTGTTTTACACATTCATATTTTGTTACTATTTCATTATATTGAATTATTACTTGAAAGATGAGTCTGAGATTTTGAATTCGAAGGTTTCTAGTTTCATTTTTTTTTTTTCATATTAAAACGTTGTTTAGAACATACAATTATTATTTAAAACAATTTAATAACTGTAAAGGAATTTCTTCGTTTTGAACTTAAAGCAATTTTAATCAATTCTTAGTGTGTTACTTGAAATGTTTGCATGTATTTTTAGTTTCTGCAACTTTTTAGGGCATCAAAATCCCAGCCTTACAGTTAGTAGGTATCAATCCTAGTCAATGACGCCGTAATGATATATTATACACTGCGGGTTTGTTGTATATATTGCGTATAATAGTAATTGATGTACCTGTGTATAGAACAACCGATTGTTGGTATTAAATGTTAAAAGTTTAGAGGTCCGCAAAAGTTTGTGATCCACTAAGATCTGGAAACTATTAAGTGAAACCAACCGTCGAATTAGTTTGTCAAACGAGCTTAACCCCTATTGTGGTTAACGATAATTAACGATGGTTTAATCTAACCGTAAAATAATACATTAACCGTTAACGATGTTTCTTTATTGTTTTCTAACCCGCAGGTGCTATTACACCGATTAAATGAAACAAAATATTGCGTTTAAATTTTTAAACCATATTTTAAAAACAATTTTTCTATAAAATTACTTTTCGTATACAATCAGATGTACCTATATTTTCATTTATTAGGCATTACATTATTGAATAGAGAATTTGGTTTCGTCTTGTTTGTATGAAGAGGGTAACAGTAACACAAGAATTAATTTTTTAAGCCTTCATATTTGACACTATATATGTATACGATACATAGCACTCAAAATTTAGAATGTGACGACGTGTAAAGATAATCAATAGAAATCAAACATTTTTTTTTTTTTTACTTTATTGGAAATATACAATCTGTACCTATGAGGCACAATAAGTACATGCGATGAGAGATACATATATATACAATTAACATTAGTACAATACTAACCTAAACATATATATTTACATGAGTACACGGGTTGTGAGAAGCCATCCATCAATGACACTCACTGTAAAAATCAAACATTTAAACAAAAAATAACTATTTATGATACGTAACTAAAAATATAATCTAAACGTGGACGATGTCTGTTAGTCATGTTTGCAATGTTTTGCTATAAACACCCATAAATCCTTCACAGCTCATCAAGACGTTTATACCGTTTCCGCGATAAATAAATTCACTTTAAGTATTGTAGGTATTTTATGTCTCCGAACTTCCTTCGTCTTGCTATCTAAGTAATCTAATAGAAGTCTAAATTATAATATTGTTGTAAGCTGTAATATACATCTCAAATTCTCGTGTTTTAGAACGAAGATGAATATGAGCCTAGTGAATACCAGCACAAATACAGTTTGCACATAATCGAAACCATCGAACTAGAGTTGGGCTTGAACATGGAGGACAACGGCGAATACGACAGTTCCAACACGATACATTTGAAAAAAGACGCAGCCGTCACGTCCAGATATTGGTGTTTGCATAACACTGGCGTACACTCGGTCACCGTACCGCTAACGGAATTGTTGGACGAGTTTTCAAAAACCCCCGCTGGTATAAACCATAATTTATTATAACATAGTCAATAATAACTATGTAAAGATATGATGAATTTTGCATTTTTTAAATTTAATCCTATACAATGCTAAAATAAACGCTTGTCGAATAATATGTTTATAAATTGTACCGTATATAAAATTCGGTATAATTAACTGGATTAAATTGACATTGACGTATAGATCGATGCATTATTAATAATTAACTACAATTTACCTATAAGTTGTATTGTGAAATGGATTCTTTACAAGAAAAAAAAACCGCTTAACTACATTACACCTACCTACTTTTCAGACGACTTCCGCGGATCGCCCGACATTCAAGGACAGAGTTATGTAGAATATTACATTTGCACGGGTCTTATGAACGGCAAAACGAAACCTATCAAAGGATTCGCCGTCCTAAGCTTTCCGACTGACTTATTAGTCACTTTGTTGAGCAACGGCGAAGTCGTAACTCAGGCTGTTCCGGATTACCATTACAATAAACTGTCTATTGCCAATATGTATATGAACGATCACAACGCCGATTCTGAAGACCAAGTGGATAGTTCTGAAAACGTAAGATCGTACATTGACATTATCTAATTAGGTTTCATCACTATAAAAATGTGATTTATATTTAAAATAAAATAATGTGTTTAAATACAAAATCTAACACTTGAATAATTATGTATGATAATTATTTGTATAATTTAGGTTGACAAAGATGACTTCAGCTCATTTATATCTGCAATACTGCAGAAAGATAACGGTACCAAAAATACTATTCTGAAATTAGGGCCAGATGTTCCCAAAGAGATTGTAGTACAGGTAAATATTACTTTTACTTAATATACATAATCACAATACTTATTTTTTCTACATAAAGATAACCTCATATTTTAACTATTATTTTCAGATGGTTTTACAAACTATGAACATGCGAAGAGGTACATTAAATAATCACAAAATAGTTTCTGAAGAAATTGAACGGAGAGTGCGCATGCTAACTCAAGCAAAGGAAAGGCAATTACAAGAGATGCAGCGATTGGAAGAAGCTCGTCAAAAATTACAGGATGATGTAGAAAATAAAGCTGAAAAGTTAGATGAGATTAATAACAAACAAGAAGAATTGACCCAAAGGTAAATTTCAATGGTTTTGTGGTTTGCTTTAATAGTATTATCAAATATCAAACTGATATATGTTTTCTTAACTCTGTATAACTTCTAGTAAACATGTTTAGGTTTTTAAATTAGTGTATATACTTTGGCCTTAGGGCTTGAGTAACTGATCGTAATAGTCTAATTAATTTTATACCTAATAGGGATTCAATCAACACTTATTGATAACTTTTTTTTTATTTAGAATATAACTTTCTAACAATTAATATCAAAAAAAAAATCCATGAAAATAAAAATGATTTTGTTTTCTATAAACTATTTACACAATTTTTAAATTTGTATATACTTTTTAAAATGTTTTAACATTGTATTTAGAGCTTCTTCGATCCTTTTGAGACTTGTATCAGCAGCACCTGATAGTATATCAATAAAAAAAAAAAGAGAATTATTGGGAGCTTATAAAACTAAGATGGAATTGATGAATAAACGTATCGAAGAAGCCAGAGAAAAATATAACATTGTGCAAACCGAATCAACAACATCTGTATATAAACAGTTATATGGAGCCCGTTCATTAAAATTAACTCTTGAACAAGAACTAGTTATTAAAGGAAATTTGTCTGAAATGTATGTATACATAAGTAAATTATTTAATATGTCACAAGTGTATTTGTAGTTTAAATGTATAAAATGCGTTTTGTTTTTGCAGGGGATCTACAATATTAGATTTAGAAAGAAAAGTGAGAGACTTAAGAATTGTAATTAATACTATTGCCAGTTAAAATCTAATATCTACGAGACTGACCTACTAGTTGCAAATTAAATTTTTTTTTTCCAAATATTTATTTTTCATTAGTATTGTATTTTTTTTTTTTACAATTTTTTTCTTGTTAAATACCTTTATAAATATATTGGTATTTTAAATTTCAAAAAATTAAATGTAAATATAATGATAATTTTATAATTTATTATTCATTAATTAATATTCAAATATAACCAATAACCATTATATTATGTATTTTATAGATTTATCAAGTTGATGTACCATATATTTCCCACAATTTTTAATTTCTCACTACAATATATCTTAAAGTATATGTTTTTAGATTCTGGGCCGCTCTGTTTCAATGAATTTAATGATTTTACAATGATGTGTGTTTTTATATATTTTTTGTGTTATCACCTTTTGCCTTTGAGATAGTAAAAATGCATCAATTTTGGTAGGAAAGTAAATCTAGTTGAGGAGATCAAAAGTAATAAATTCCCAGTCGTTTTCAAAGATATAGGGAAATTAAATAAAAAAATTAGTGGAATTTTTACACAAAACTAGATTTCACCGAGTTTAAGGGTATTAAATGTTTAGAATACACTCATCATGTTTACTATTAGTTTAGTGAATTTCAGATGCTTATAAAAGAAAAGTGTGCCTATTTAAATATTGCTATAAGAATAACTTATTTAATAATTACTTATGTATATTTTATATTAAATTGTCAATGTTTTGACATAAACTAAAAAACTGTATCAACACTTTAAAAAAAAACCAACATTTCAAAGGTGTATAAATAAGCTATTTAAAATTAGACTAAATATTTTTAAACTTCATTTTTTGTACGTAATAAATCATACCTTTAATACATTGTATAATAAATTATCCCAATTAGTTTGAAAATATCTGGAGATTTATTTAAAACTACTTTCAAAGTAGGTACCAACTGATAATATTTATCAAAAACCACCCTCAGATTTTAATTTATAATCATTTTCAATGCTCCAAGAGGCGATGAAAGCCATCAATGTATTAGGTGATGATAAATTATTAATCTTATATTAATCAAATTATAGTTGTAGGTGACTACCTGTCTTACCTACCTATTAGCCTATTAAATTTTTCTTTCCCCGCCGTAATTTCACTGGTATACCTATTAGGTTAACACTAAGTAAATAAAACTTAATATATTAGATATATTGAAAAATATTAGATACTTATGCTCAGAACCAGTGTTGAGATTAGATAAGTACTTTTTTACTAAGATAAAAATAATTTTTTTTAATCTTAAAGTCTAATTTTTTAAAAGAAAACCTTGCTACTACTTAAATAAGGCTTAAACACAGATCGTAGGTTTACACAATAGACATGATTATTACCGAATAGTATACCAATATCAATAACACATTTTTAAAATTAATATTTACCTACTTATAATGATTTGATATTAAATAAAAGAATACTTTGTTTGTTGTTAAATACTATTATTATTATTATTATTTATGTATATTATAAATTATTAACAATATAAAATTATTATTTGTACAAATGAACTCATCAGGATAAATTGATCTAGATTGGTGGTAATCGGAAAAAAAAGTCCCAGAAAAAAAAGTCCCGGTAAAAAAAGTCCCACACTAGGAAAAAAAGTCCCGAAAAAAAAATATTATTCTTGTAGGTACTTGTACAGTTCTATAGTAAGTTGTGCTTTGTATTTTAGTGTGTAACTGTGTAAGTGTAATGAATAAAATGCTTGTACATATATTTGTCATCTACCATAATAATTAATAAGTAATAAATAATAGAAAAAAAAGTTTACTGGAAAATACCAAAATACTTATTCTTATACTGCACTTGTACAGTTGTACTTTGTACTTATTTTAGTGTGTAATGTATTGGTAGGTATAAAATATATTTGTCCGCAGATGAAGCGAAATTAGCTTTAGATGCTGTAGGAGATTCGAAAACTGTTAAAAAACTAGGGCAAACTCGGACAGTAGAAAAACGGCTGCAAAATTTATGTATACAAATACAAGCGGGCAATATCGGTGTTTTAGATTTTTTAACAGCCGTAACTCGTAAGTCATAATATAAGAAAGAGGTGTACCTAATTATAATATTACATTTTTATAGCATTATTATTATAATTAGGTATATTGGTATTTGGTACTTTAATTGTATTATTATTATTTACTTTTATTTGACTTAAGTACTTATTATTGACTATTTATTATTGTAATAAATTGTAAGTAATTAACATCTTTTATGATATTATATGACTTTGTATGTATTTATATATTCATCGGGACTTTTTTTTCCTAGTGTGGGACTTTTTTTACCGGGACTTTTTTTTCCGGGACTTTTTACCGGGACTTTTTTTTCCGCGATTCAGATTGGTAGGTGTCAGGTGAATTTTTTTATCTTAAATAATTAATTATATGACTTGCAACTATTTATCTAGATAAGATAAAAGATAGGTGGTTAACTAAAAGTGTATCTAGACTACAAGTTGAGAACACTGCTCACAACAGTATTATTTTGATGTAGCGGCTGTGAACTTTAAATAAATAAAAATGTTGTTGACAATATGACCATCAGACCCCTATTGTAAACACCATTCCTAGATAGGTACCTATCTACACTATAGGATGACAGTTAAATGGAGACCGATTGGGATTTGTAAAATGCCAAACTATGCGCGTCAGATGCATTTTTGGATTTTAAACTTTAATAGGGTATGCTGCAAAAAGCGAATGAAAAATTGACAGACAATAGTACAGTACCGAGTTTCCGTTGTAGTTTTTTTTTTATTATTATTATTGTTTAAAGGGTTCGAGTCGGTATACACTAAGCTTACCCATATCTATACTATACCTGTTCATAATTTATGTAAAACGCCATTATTTGTGACGTGATGTTTATGTACTGTGTATTATGTGTGCACACAATTTGCTCTGACTCAACGATCGGGTATGTGTGTAATAAAAAAACAAATAAATAGTTTAATACAAACTGGCACGGCGTAACAAACAATATGTATATATGTTTATACATTAAATATTTATGTAGGTATATATATGCTACCCATACGTAATATTTGCTATATATGTATATACGAGTAGTCGTAACAGTAGATGTAGGCACTTACCTTAAATATTCAAAATGTTAATACTTAACAGTCTTCTATATTATTATAAGTTTTTTATCGGATATAGGTTCTGGTACTATTGAATTTATTTTAATATACGAAATAATAATGTGTGTTCGTATATTTCAGACAACAGCGGATGCAGAATCTATGTAGGTATGGAGTAGGTTTTGGTGCTTCAATTAAAAACATTTATCCCATGCTGATTTTTAATAATTAGTAGACCAACTTACAAACTTCAAAAGTTAAATTTAAAAAAATCATCTGACCCGACTGAATTTTCAACAGTTTAAATGTCGGTTACACGTAGGTACCATGGTTAAATAACCTGTAGATAACCGTGGTAGGTACCTATGTAAATATAGTCAATAGCACGCCTGCATGCCTATTTGGTTCGAAGTGTTTTATAATACATTTATACCTACACATAATAATATGTTGGTACATTGTAAATTATAATATTATATATTCTGATCGATTGGAGCTTCAAAAAAATACTGAGCTCTCATCTTTGATCAAAGGACCTTATAATTTCGTAAGAATATTTAACCAAAATACACTCGAGTAAGTAGCTTTCTAGTGGTAAATAATTTTTATTGTATAATAGTAAATGCCTATAATAGGTATACCTAAACCTAAGTTCCATCCGTTGTGTCATTTTTGTTTCAATAAAATTGTATTATTATAATATTTTTATTAATTATTAATTGTATTTAAAATTATGTATAAGCGGCATGCCACATAACAGTATAATACTTACATTATACATATTATGCCGATGTGAGATTCACAAAGCATTTTTCTTTTAAAAAATATTTTGTTGACTGTGACAGTTGGCTATAGTGAGAGGAAATTCTGTGCAGTTATTGTTAAACATGTTTTTGACTTATAAATAAAAGAAATCTAAAAACACTTGTGTGGACTTTAAAAAAGTATAAATAAAATAAACCTAAACAAATTGAACTGAATGAATACTAAAAAATGTCATGGTTCGAACTTGTGGGAAACTTTTTTTACATACCTACTCCGCTCTGATCATTTTCTCTTGTTTAAATTGATCAATACATTTCTGAATAACAATACAATTTCTGAATGCCATTTAATAATACCTACCTATCTACCTACCTACCTAAGTACCAATTGAAATACATTTAACATTTATAATGTATAGGTATACAACTAACTTTCAAGTGTAAAACTGCTTCATCATCGTCTTTTCCGGATCCAGTGAAACAGCGAATTTGCAACCAGTGAATTTTACGACCTTGTTCATCAAAAACTGTCACTTGTAACGTGAGTTTTGGGACAGAATTTTTCCAATTCCTTCTTGTAAACAACACACTCTTCGGTCATTCGCTGGTAATTGACCACCATGCGGTTTCGCAACAACAATTTTTGGTTTATTTTAAAATTTATTTACTTCCAGAAATTTAAAATTTCGTTTTTTAACCTTTAGGTATTTTCTTTTAGACCAACTATACTCATTTTTAACATATTTCGACTTTCTATATAAAAATTAAATTAAGAACTGAATACTTCCACTGTCTGAAATCAACTAAAACAAAACAATACTTTACAACTTATGCTTGTTTTAATAGATGTTATTTTATAGGTTCCCTATAAAAATATAAAAAATTTATTATTCTATGAAAATTGTTTACAATTTCAAAATAGGTACCTACATGAGTTATGTTTTTTTTCCCATTCAACATTATTTTAGCTTAAGAGCAATGAATGTATTGATTTTCTAATGATGTGTGTTTTTTTGTGTGTCTGTCGTTACCTTTTGGGCAATAAAAAATGCTTTTTATTGCTAAGACAAATTTTCGATCTTTTGTTTTTTTTTCAAATATTGTCAATATAAATGTATTCCTTGGTCAAAAAACTTGAAAACTTAATACAAGGTTCTTCATAAGTTGTTGTTAGTGGAAACTAACATAAATTAGAGTGTAAATCCATCATAATTTTTTATGATCATCTGAAGTTAGAATATCTATAATTTGGTTTACATCGTGAACACTTGAAAATTATTATGTAGGTAGTTAAAAATCCATGCAAATGTTTCTTTTCATAGCTAACTCATAAGCTACTCATATAGCTCTTCATAAGTGTTTTTACCATTAACAAAAACAAAAGTTTATTGAAAAGTAAAAATTTATTTTCATTATTGTTTTAAGCTCAAACCGCGGTTACATGCTGTGTATGGAATTTGCCAATGTTAATGGAATAGGCACTAATTTAACCTTGTACTTTTTTTTGCCATTATAGGGAGGGCACATATGGATACACACTGACCCTAAACTCGATTTTTACTACATTTTTTTAAAATAAATTTCTTCAAAACCATTAACTTTGTTAAAAGCTAACTGTATAATAACCATCTTATTTTCTGTAACCGTGGCTACTGGCAAGGCATTAATTGATAGCACTTAACAAGGATTACCTAATATTTGCCTTGGTTTCATAATGATCAAATAATAATTATAACAATAATATTTAACAAAGGAAAATATATTTGAAATATTCAAATAACAATTTTACCATTAGTTTAATAACTGTGTAACAATTTTTCAGACTTAAAAGTTTGAACAAACAAACAATTCAATTTTTTACAGTACAACTGTACAAGTCTTACCAAGCATTATTAAGGTAACATTCACCCATTAAAACTTTGAACACAAAACCTATTTAATAAGTTACAAAATAAAAATTATAATTCTATACAGTAGCTAAAAATTGTGTGACCAATCTCAAAAACTCATGAGGTTTTTCAGCATGTAGCCAATGACCAGCACCAGCTATATAATCAATTTTAACTGAAGGGAATATCTGTTTGATGGCCTCATGATCTGTTGGTTTCAAGAAAACTGAATCTCCGCCTCCAATAAAATATGTTGGACCATCATATGTTGATTGAATAGGTGGAAATACGGCAAGATTATTTTTAAAATTAACATTGATGGATTCTAAATTAATGCGCCATTGGTATTTTTTGTTCACTTCGATAAGATTGGTTAGGAGGAACTGTCGAAGTACTGGACTCTATATAACACAAAAATAAAAATTATTAATAATTAACCAATAAATAGTTAATATTGACATACTATAAAATTACACTTTATGTTAATCCCAATCTTAGGCATTTTCTACTAATTATCACGCATTTTAATTCTTATTCAAGTTTTAAAATAAATACAATATGTATTTATTGAAAGTCAAATTAATAGTTTAGAAATTCAAAATTTCTCAAAAAAAAAAAAAATGTTTATTTTCATATCCACATGTCAAAGAACTTAAGATTTATTTCTGTATCTGACTTGAAAAAATGTACTAGTTTCTTTAACTTAACCTAATTATTCAACAAATACTGAAAAATAAAAATTAATGATAACAAAAATCAGACATTTAAAATTAAGTATTTAGTAATTTAAAATTTACTTTACTTAAGATGAATATAATTGACACCATAAAAAAAATCTATTACCTATAAGAGTGGAGTTTACATATTTGTATTTTAGCTGTTTTCGCCAAGATTTTAGAAAACTAACCCATTTAAATAATTACCATTATTGCTTATAGCTATAATTTGATAAAAGATAACCCTACATGATTTAATATTTTTATAATTTTTAGTAAATTTAAATATATAATTGTGAAATGTCTTCCTTAAAAACCTATATCTATTTTGTGGGAGTAATTTAACCAAAAAAAATTGTTATAAGTCATAACTAGAATACAATTTATTTGTTATATACTTATATCTAAAAATTAATTTAATAACTTGACACAAAATTAACAAATTTTATAAATAAATGTAAATACCATTTGATTAACAGTGAAAGGTAAGTATATTATAATAAATATTAATTATTGAATTGACTAAGAGCAGTATAATTATTGTTAATAATACAAGTATAAAATAAGTAATTTAGACTAATATAATTTTTTTAAAGTATTAATTAAAAATTAAATAACCTTAAAGACTTAAATAATTATTATTTTGAACTTAATAATTACAGATAGTTTATACTCACAAGTTATAACTTAACGTACCTCTATCGAACTTTTCATATGTTCATCTGCCATTTTCCGAACTTTTGATATAGGTCCATTAACATCTAAATTAACACCTCTTAAGACATTTATAATACTTTGAATATCACTCACTTCTTTGCTGTTGATTGGTGATATATCAACTGGTATTAAGGATTCCACAAGTTCTGGCTAAATATATTTTGCTGATTATTTTTTAGCTGACATTTAATTAATAAAAATATTAATATCAAAACAAACCTTACATAGATGACTGCTAAGTACATCATTGTTCTGCCACCCATGCTATGACCAATCAATGAAGCTTTTTTCACACCCAAATCTTCCATTAAAAATTTAACGTCTTCAGCCATAAGTTGATATGATTGCTCTAAAGTATGTGGTGAGTCTCCGTGATTTCTTGAATCAACAGTAATTACCTTGAAACAAAAAAACAAAATATAAACATATCTTGTAGAAATCATGTGGTATAATTTAAGAAAATAGCTTTGTCGTAATTATAATGTTTTTTTGTATCAAAATACCATTATCATCTGTGATAATGTAGTAAGTACCTACATATTATATTACCATGATATACCTATTAAGACCCTATACCTAATGAATAATCTAAAACTGAAAATAAATTAACAAATTTTTATAATCTTATCAAATCATATCCATTACATTGTTTTGTACACTTAAAATTCTAACACTTTTTCCAAAAAAAAATATGTACTTTTATGAATTTTATGTAAGTAGAAATTAAATATAAGATAAATAACAATCGATAATTAGAGCAATGTGTAATCCAAATTAAAATATATATACCTAGATACAGTAGTTGCCAGATACATTGATCAGGCAGCGATAATAAAAAACCAGGGGTTCTCCGTACTTGAATGTTAATATGGAAAATGACTAACCTAACCAAAGAGTAATTATCAATCTATATTAGTAAATTCCATAATTTACATATCACAGTAATCTATTAAAACTGTCATCGTTGGCTGAGTCATTTATTTTTATAAATTTATAATAAGCAAATTGGTGAGGCGACTGAGGAACACTGAGCGGTTAAAGGCTAGTTTGGACTACACTAACTGAAAAGCCCCGCCTTCGCCGATGGATCAATTTTTCTGGCAACGACTGTGGGTAAATACAATAATTTTGAATACAATAAAGTTTGTCAAGATTTATTTTAGAATATATTTGCATTTTAGATCCATACTGATAATACAAATTTTGAATAAGTACTGCTTATATTCTTAATTTTACTGCAGATGCCTTAGATTTAAAGTACATAGCTATATAGATATTGCAGACACAGACATTTTTAGTTCTAAGTAAAAGGTAATAAAATTAAAAACTAAAAAGTTATTATGTACTAAATAATATTATTACTTGTTACCTACACAGGTAAAAAACATTTTTTTTGTGTACCTAGGTAATAATTCACTGGTGTAAACTTACATTTAGGATTAGATAATCATCAAGTTTTAATGTCTATATTTAATATTTATATTCAGCAAACAAAAAATTGTAATGTCAGGAAACAATTAAAATTTGACCAAAATACAATTTTTTTAATTCATTGAATAAAATAAAACCATACATACAGTAACTTAAGATAACATAAAAGTATTTAGGAGATAAAATAACAATGAATAATTCTGCTAAAAAAATATGATTCAACAATCAGTTAGATACAGGTAGTCCTGTAGATTGGTTTTATATATTCAGTTTGATAATTTACGAACATAAAATTAATTAATTTAACAAAAGGAATATTTCATAAATATATTAGTTATCTAATTAATAAAACCTAATAGAATGGATGCCATTCAATGTTGGTATTTCTTATCTAATCTAAGGTCGGTGTTTGACCTTTTTACTTAGCTTTTTATTAAAATTCTATACATTTCAAAATTCTTTACACGTATATTAAAATATTATGTTATGATGAGACTAAAATTGTAAATAATAATCAAATAATTTACAAAGCTTCAAGTCTAAGCTCTACAAATCAATGAATCATATACCTAATAACTTTCCGTAATAAATAACAATAGTTTCTTTTTGATTTATGAAATGTTCAAGAAATCTATGCAAGCAAATAAAAACACCATATGACGAGACAAGACTAATGTGTCTTACATTTCTAAAATTAATTACTTATTACTAAAATAAGTGAGGTAGTTATTTAAAGACTGAAAATAGTAACACATCTGTCTAGGTTTCTATTATCAAAAGAATGATTCATATTTTCATTAAACATAAAAGGTAGGTAGTATATTTGTGAAAACTCTTGAGACACACATTTCAGCAACAGTTTAAATACTTACTTTTCTATGGGTCATGTTGTGAAGGGATTTGGACAAACTGTTCCAGTTGGATTTGCAGCCAAACAGACCATGCATGATGATGATTGGCGGTTTTTGTCCACCGTCCGCGGCCGACTCGTATGAGGTGTATGACATTTTGATGGGTTCCAGTTTGGCGCTCAACGGCCGCCGGCTCTCCTTAAGCAAGCACGTCATGGACAGAAACATCTTGGACTTGATCATGGTGGTAACGGCTGAGTGGGACTTTGGCGTTAACTTACTCGGAACCGTACGGCCGACTAAAAATGGATAGTGCGCAACGCACGTGAAATCCAACAGAAATTCGACGACGTACCAACTACCAGTCCGGAATGAAATCGAGATGATGTAATGTTTTGTAGACTACTGTAATAAAATAATAATCTTGGCGGCTTTGGAAAACGGATGTTCGGATCAAAGATAAAAAAGGTTGATGAAAAAAAATTTGGCCGATAACAGCGAAAAGACGTATCTATCACTTATCAGTACAGTTAATTGATAGTACAGAACATGATAGCACAGAATATTTCTGTGATGATAGGCTTAGTTGCTTCATGGACCTTATACCATTACCCTAGTTATAAGCACGAATTAAAATATACTTGTGGCGGGTTTCCACTAAATACGTGAGCGCATACGTGCATACAAATCCTTTGCTGTGATTGGTTGTTTAGGTTAGGTTACCACACGATTTATCATGTTACCTTGTTGTTGAGCATAGCTGAACATTTTTCGTGTATACGGCACACGCATATAGTGGAAACCCGCCTTTATATAACTTATTTGCTTTAACGTCTGCCTGTGAACGGTGAACCAACCACGAATTAAAACAATTTCGTAATTTATCAAAAAATAATTTATTATATAAAGCTGGAGAAGTCGCTAATACAGTATAATAGATAGTACCTATTGGCTATTACGTATAGTAGTATAGGGTACCTATGTTGCATTAACTTTTGTCAAAAACATGCAGGTATGCATATATAATATATTACGGGTGCTATTATAATTTATTTTTATCATCATATATTATTGTTATTTACTATTATAACTCAATATTGACGAGTGACGACTGACATAGTGACATATCGTATAAAGTTATCGCCTGTCAATAAAATAATGGAGTAAATGCAGACTTCTGGCATTGATGAATAATTTTATAATTTGCCATTCTATCATCCTTAAAATTGTAATTTTAATTTAAATTCAATATTTTTAAAACTTCATTCTAAAATAAAAGTTTTTTGAAAAAATATCCAAAATGATTCGTTAAGTGCAGCAAAAGCATTACTTATTCAATAAAAACTGAATATGAATTGAAATATTAAAAAAATTACATTGTGTATTTAAACTAACAATAAACATATATATTATGAGAAAGCTTGTATTACATTTGAAAGGTTTTTTACAGAAAACATATTTTTATTAATATCCATCGGAAATTTACTGAGGAGATTTAAAATATTCTTGAATAGCTTAAAATCTAAAATATACCTACCTAATACAATCAAAATGAATACATAAAATATTAATTATTAATTTCATGCTCGACAGTATTCAGAGAAAATATTTGACTTGGAATTTTACAAGCTAGTTGCCAGTTGGTGTAGTCGGCGCGGTAAATATAATGCATTATGCATTGTATACCTTTATATTAACTCTAAAAAGTAGTAATCACATTTATTTGTAGTAACATTGTCATTTAATTGTTAATAATAAATATGCATATACTTCTAAGATTTAAATATCATCTTAATCAATAATCATATCAATTCATTTAAAAATTAAAAATAATAGGTACTTTATATACCTATTGTTATAATTTACTTTTAATAAATTATAAACTATTTTGATAATATTGCCATGATACCATACTTCATTAATTCAGTGAAAAAATCGTAAACACGGACCACTTTGATATGAAAATTTGTAATATTATATATATCTTCGGTTATATTATATTGACGAAATATAATAGGTACATACTATCCATGGTGATTGTTAAAGTAGTTACAGAAGAGGCAGTCGATTAAATATTCTAAAATGTCAGTTATCAAAGCAGACATGAACAAGAAACATACTGTGTTCCGTACAGTTTTTTTCAGAATGAATCACAATATTTTCAGACTTAAGTTCAGTTGTAGATATCTGATTAGTGATTTGTTCCACAGTGCACACACACAATTTCACTGATTCCCCAGAAGCCCGAAAAAGTTGATGTTTAAAGTAACTAAGTTTGTTTTCATATTCTTTTGGGGGTTAAATTTACTTTTTATACTTCAAATAAATATTTAATTTCACGAACAATTATGCTACCCTGCCTACCCAACACGTATAGTAAATGAGTATTTTATTTCTGAGATCAAAATGCATAAAATACGATTTATCGAATAATACAAATGCCGTTTGCCGTCGTTGTTTTTCCGGTCCCCGATCATATGATAATTATAATTATAACCTATGTAAGTACTCGAAATAGACATATATTGATTTTCAAATACCTGCAAATTATTATTATATTTACAACATTCATAATGAAAAAAGTTGTTAAAAATGACTAAATAACTAATAAGCAAGCAGCTTTTCAACTACTTTTAAAGCGTTTTTCCAATTTTGGCAAGCAGTTGTTACAAGGCTGCTCAAAGTCTGATTTCCAACACCACCACTTCTAGCAAAAACTGCACAATATTTGCAAAATGCACCTTGCAATTGCTCAGAATAGCATAACCAATTAAATTTCCCTAACCAATGATGTTGAAATTTGATTTTTCTTTTGGTATGTTGTTCAAGTAATGGATATAAGTAATTCAATGGTGGTGACCATAAGTTTGTCAACACCTAAAATGTTAATATAGTTAAAATAATACCTACCTAATTGTCCTAATTAGAAAATATAAAATCATGATGTATCATAGTATATACTCACTATATGTTTTTCAACATCAGATAAGCTTCTACTAATAAATAATCCGATATCATTTTTCGGCACTGATGGCACTACGTTTACAGCACATTCCAACTTAAATAAATAACATGCATAGATGCAGCATTCGCAGTGTATTAATAAATTTACATAGGTGTGTCTAGTTTATAGGTACTTACATTATTTTGGATTGTTTCATTTTCCGATTGATTAACGTGTTCATGTTTCCTTTTAAGATTATTGGAGGGTTCAATGTTAAGGGTTCTAGTAAAAAATGTTGTAATTTTATTTTTATTGTTTTGTGACATCTTTATTAATTATTGTAACAAAAAGTCTCTCTAGTCCGCACATAAAGTTTCAATTTTGAAATGATAATCAGTAACGACTAACGACAGTAACACACAATATACGATAACCACTTTACTAGATAGTACTGATAAGAGAATACTAACCAGTTACCAGTAATCACTAACGGTGAACATGTTTGATTTAAATGTTATCTGGTTATCATAATACAGTTCTTAACAGATAATGCTTGTAATCGTTGTATAATGCATGTTGATATAAAATTAGAAAAATTTTAGAAAATTGCTCCTGTGAATTATATTATGTATACGCAAGAACGCACAAGAGTGCATCGGTTAGTGAGGTCATGGGGGGGGTTCAAACCCCACGAACCCCCCCCTTGAGTACGCCCCTGGCTACCCAACACGTATAGTAAATGAGTATTTTATTTCTGAGATCAAAATGCATAAAATACGATTTATCGAATAATACAAATGCCGTTTGCCGTCGTTGTTTTTCCGGTCCCCGATCATATGATAATTATAATTATAACCTATGTAAGTACTCGAAATAGACATATATTTCGGTTAAAATTAGAAATATTTACCCGTTATAACTGATAAATAATAAGCCACAATTATAATTTATTACTGGTATTTTTTTTAAATGCTAAGTTATAGAACACTATTAATTTATTGTAATTTATATTGTATTGCATATAATATTGTATATATTTATAATATTACATTAGGTATATCATAGTGATAGTAAGCTCCATATCCTAACCAGTAACTACCCCGTAAGCGGGCTTAAAAAATAAACTTTTAAACTCTTCTAGTCGTATACAGTAGGTAGCCATAAATTATGTAATATTCTAGCTGACCCGGCAACGCTTCGCTAATATTGTAAGATTTCTCAGATATTAATTTTCTATTTATTTTCCGGATGTTAAATAATTATTTTTATTGTAGACCACTTTAAATCATTTATCCGCGGTAATGTAGTCATATGAATTTAAAGTCGCCACCACGGATTATTCATAATGTTGAAAAAAAAATTAAACCACCTGTGTCAAAAGAAAAATTGATGCTTTTTGTAAATTGTTTTCATTTAATAGATTTAATGTGTGAAGCGTCAAAATTAAAGTAGATGGGAAAGTGAATCTATAGTTGGTGCATTGGGGAGGACAAAATTTAAAATTTTCAGTAGTTTTAAGTTTAAGCTTTAATAGGAATAACGGGAGTTTTTAAGCAAAACAAATTTTTGACAAAATCGATTTTGGTTTTAGGTTAGATTACCAAATAACTACAGATACATGAAATGTTCACCGAATGTTTAAATTATTAGCATTTTCTAAACACCATCAAGTTTTCAAAATATTTTTTATGGACATTTTCTGTTTCTAATTTATTTTTTTTCCTATACATGTCAATAAAATTGTATTTATTAGGTCGAAAGGGGTGAATATTTAATACATGGTTCATCTTGATATATGTTGATGGTAGCAGTTGAAAAATATTTTAAAAAATACACGATTTTGTCTAATAAACATTGAAAGTACGAATTTCGACAAAGTACGTAAAATTTGAGTTAGAAATTCATACAAATTGTTTCTGTTTTTAATCTAAGATTTTGAATTTAAATACAAGATTCCTTTTAGATTTGAAGTTGAAATTTGTACATTGGAATTTACTCGATTTCTCATTTAGTGATTTTCTTATTTTGTTGTAACTCAAAAATGAATAACTAGATACTTGAGATTTACACCATAATATGTCTATTTTATCAATTCAAATACTTGATAAAATGTTCAAAATATAAATTTAAAATTTTTATAGCTAAGGATTGAAAATTTAAAACAATGTTCCTTTTAAACAGTTTTTTTCGTAACTATGAAATCTAAAAAAATATATGAATACAGTTATTTTTCAGATATTTTATGTTCAAATTCGGACAAAATAGCATCATATAAACACAAAGGAAAGTTTAAAATTTTTTAATAATACGGTTCCAAAACAGTCCAATTTTACATAGGTAGGTATAATGTATATTTAATATTTTTCCATCATCACTGATCATTTTAAGAATAATATTAATTAAACTTACCGGCTACCATATTAATAATAAGTAATAACAATATAAAATATCCTAGACTGACATACAGTCTCCCCTCTGAATCGTTTTTCGTATACAATGATATGAAATCATTGGATTCAAATTTAATACCATTCATTACAGCGACCTAATGACACCTAATGTACAGCAGAAGGACATCTTATATTTTATGTTATATACCAGCTACTATTCAATTGAATTAATAAGTGATTTGTAAATAAGAACAGTTTTTATTTTATCTTCAAAATATTTATAAGTTTATCTCACGATGATCAATAATACTGGAATATAATATGATGACTACAGCATGGACGAAGTATCTGACAGCATGAAAAATTGGATAAGTACGATTTTCAATTCACCAAATCTCCTATGCTCGTCAGAACCAGACAAGCTTAACACTATTGCTGCACCGAGGGTGGCACACTGCACCAGCGACCAGCAGCACAACCTCTCTACCGACTTTAAGGAGTCTCCTCCCTAAAGCCGAAATGAGTGGCCTGCGTTTTTCCACCTTTACAACCACAGTCGACAAAGTAGTGTCTGTCGGCTGTTGAGTACAGGGCATGTTTTCAGGACCAGATTGCTCTAAATCTGTCTTTACACCTATCAGTTACTACTATACTTATTTTTCTTGGAACAGATTCCAGTCGCCTGTACGTTGACCCAGACTGGATACCGTCAGATACTATCCGCCAGAATTTCAGATAAGACCGGGCTAACTTAAGAAGACACAGCTCTTCTTCAACTTCAGCCCATTTTTGCTGAATACCGACCATGCTGATTTTTCGGTGGGTGCGCTTTAGATCTTATATTATTTTTCTCTTCTTCTTTGTCAGTTTTGCTTAATCTCGAAGACGCAGCAATATTGACTTCTTGGTTATACATTTTTAAGTTGGAACACTTAACACGTGAAAACACTTGTAAGTCGGAATGTCGAATGAATCAGAAAAATGTTCAGTCGATCCCATATCAAAAATAACAAGCAATCGAACTTCATAGCAACTAAATATAATAATATACGGCCAAAACATTATTATTTTTTCTTTAATTTAACTTTACTCTAATTGATATTTTATTGATCAGCATTAGGTGCTCTAAAAATAATTATTGTATAACAAACTAAATATAAATAAATAAATAGTATATATATAGTAAATATATATTGTAAACTAAATATGTATTATAAATAATATTTTTTGTTTAATAATAGGGATATTAATGATATTATACATTTAAATTTTTTTTTTTATTCTTGATATGCATTACGCGCCGATGCTCCCTTTCCAATTTTTTTTCTCTAACTTAACCCTAGTTGATTTTTTTAAATACCTGTGTTTAAACATAGATAACGAGCTGGTTCCCTGTAAATTGTCAGTGTTTAATGAACTAATTATTTTGATTAGCATTTTCAGTTTAACAATTTTAAAATTTTAAACTGCTGTCTTTAGATTATGATTTTAAGGTAAACTGTTTTTTAATTGTTTTTTTTTGTATTTCACTAGCGGATCCGCACCACAGATTTCTATATAATGTAGTATAGAAGTCTGTGATCTGGATGATAACGGCAGTGCCTTCTACTGTCGTCTTTTCGAAAAACCCCCAGTGATGGCCGCTGAATTTTGCCGGCACATTGCTCTGTCACGTACGATTTTAGTTTTTATAAACATCAGCAGCTGACCTGCATTTAAGGTACAATTCATATTTACCATATTATTTTTAACGATTTAATATTTAATACTATTAATTATTATAGATTAAATTGATTAAAATAAAATATTTAAGTCTAAAATGTCAAAATTGTAGGCTTAGAAAACATAATATGATATTATGGCTTAACTGATTTAACTATTAGTAGTAGCCAAATAAAAATAAAATTCGTTCAGGGAGTTTTTCATACCATCAAAATGCTGACTACTTATAATATAGTCAATAAATTATAAGTTTATTATTTTCTTTTATCTAAGCTTAAGCCGTTGATATTGGGGGAACTAAATAGTTGTCTGTTAAGCAAGTCAGGCACAACTGTCGAATCTGAGTGTGTTTGTACACCGAACGTTTCGAATTTTAGCCAAAAATATCGAATATTGAATAATATATTATTGTTATTAACTTATTACGAATTAATTCACGTATTAATATGCTGCTGCTGCTATTAAATACACTGTCAATATAACTAGAACAATAACAAGATTATAAAATTATAGTAATTTTTGACTATGATAAAAATATTCTGCTTTTAATAATCTGAATGATATTTACCAATTTATTTTACGATACTACATCATAGTATACGCTGTCAATCAGTAGGAAACACTTCAGCAATTACCAATGGCATCCTCAAGAATTTGTCAAAGAGACCTTTTTTGCCCATGAACAAGAATACACAAAATTGATCAACAAATGTTAATTTTTATTACTATACTTCACTTTACATTTTATATCTATACTAATTTATAATAATTATACTGTACTATACTAAATAGTTTACTTAATGTGATTTTTGTGACTACATTTATTTGACTATAACTAAGTATAACTTAGTATGATTATTGATTATACTAATTTATATCTAATTAATTGATAAATATAAATGATGGGTGATTTAACCTACTGATTACGATTGTCGTAGAGTGGTCAAACGTTATTTCACTAGAAATGGAAACAGATGAGAAGATTAATCTTATTATAGCTCATAAATTATATATATTATTATAAGAGTTAGGATTTTGGTGACTTTTACATTTTTTTCTCTAAGTGTTATACAATTCTAACCAACAACTAAATTTGTTTCGTAATTTAACAATTTAAGATATGTAATTTTTATTTTGCATTTTTTGTGTTAAATTCATTTTATTACATTTTTAAGGTCATTTTTCAGTAATATTACAAATATTACTTTCATTTTGTGTATTTAAACTAATTTTTATTTATTTTAAGATTTTTTAACATGTGTTGTAAAGGTAATCCCAATTAGTACCCATAGACAATTACCTACTCGAGGCCATTGATATCGAAAAAGTAATATAATTAATTGCCGATTTATCCGATAAGATTAAATATCGAACGAACCCATAACTATTTAGGTGCACAATAGTAGCTTTAGTAGTGAATTCGACACGTACCTATGGGGTTCTACCGATCTTAACTGTACAAGATGCCAAAAATTAAGTCAACAGTAGGAAGCCGTTTACGTGGTTTTGTGAGAGACTTGGTGCCCATATATTTTCTGCGGACGGTATGGTGCTTTTTTGTAAAGTTTGTAATGTTGCAGTTACCTCCGAAAAGAAATTTACAATTCAACAACACATCAGTCAAGATTAGCATGCTCGTAGAATTCAACGAAAATTGAATGAAGTGAAATAAAATAATCATTCACAAGTCTATTATTTTCATAATTAATAATAATATTTATTTTTAAAATAAATTTTTTTCGCTCATCATATTTTGGTCATTTTTTAAATTCATATTTTAGAATTTTTAGGTCATTTTTGCATTTTTGCATTGTTGTGTATTTTTTAGGTTATTAAAATCCTAGCTCTAATTATTATCCTACTATCGGCTGTCCTAGGCAGGCGTTATCCGTGCCACATATTTTTTTTTTTGTATAAATATATTTGTATACTGCAGTCTGCAGCTGTATGATATTTCAATAATAATTGCAAGATTTATTTTGTAGCAAAATGTAATTATATATTTTGTTTTTTTTTTATTCATGGTACAGCATCAACTACTAGGGTTATTAGCTGGCAACAAAAATTGGTAATTAGTACATAATAGAGTATAGTTATACAATAGATTCTTAAATTAAATTAAATTAAATTATACATATCAATTTGTTTTAAAAATATGATTATTTTGTTGGTGTTGTCATGGATAGGGCTGAGGGCTTCAAAGAGGTTGTCGGGCAATTTTAGACTTTTTCTGGTATCTATATGGATACGGCAGTGGATGAGGAGGTGCTTGACTGTGAGAGGTTCTCCACAGGTTAGGCACATTTCTAGTTCTTCTCTGCGCATTAGATGTCCATGGGACATCTTTGAGTGACCTATACGTAATCTATTGATAACTACTTCATCTTTGCGATTTGATGTATGGGGTTTAGGCCAGTATTCGGTAGTATTTTTTATTTCTCTCAGTTTGTTATTGGGTGTACGACGCCATTCAGATTCCCATAAATTGGTACAAAAGGTGTTGACATTCCTATGGATGTCGATGAGTGAGGAGTACATGCGTATTTCGGTCAGAGGGTTATTTACTGCTTCACGAGCTACTTTGTCAGCTTTCTCATTGCCATCAATTCTATATTTATTCACATCTCATCTTCAATAAAAGTAGGTACCTACCTATTTATTTCAAAAATACCCCTCTGATAGTGATTAGCTTAATGATAGTTACTATTATAACTTTAATTATTTTTAGTTTTAATTTTTATTTGATTATCATTTTCATAAGTATGATTATTTTTAGATATATCGTATGTTATTGCTAATATTTTAATTTTAATATTGAAAAATTACTAATAGAAATCTTAAAACGAGTTGAGTTTAGTAAGTATTGTTATTTTTTTATTTTATTTTTTTGATCTTAAGCATCAAAACCTATGTTTATTAGAATTTTGAGAGTTACGGTTGGTTGAGAAAAACCTGGGGGGTAAGGATTTGTCACTAAAAACCAGAGTAGTCAACCATCCAGGATTTAGTGACACCAGGCGATGATCGACCGAAGCACACATCTGTGACTACTGACTGCGGCTAACCTCCGAGCTCTCATTGTTATTTTTATGTATTATCAGAACGAGTGTTTACTAATTCTTTTTATGTACAACCAGGTAAAATAAGTATAACTATTTTATAACGATTGCATATTAATTGTATTGCACCAAACTACCAAAAGCTACCGGTAATATTAAATATCTTGAAACCGTCAATGAATCTGCGTTTAACTTAAGGGAGTAATAAACTGTATAATTTATTGTTTTCAGCTGAAAATGGATTTTATAATTCCAATTTTGAATCGAAATTTGGTAAGTAATTAAGAGTGGTAATATTCTAGAAATTAAAAGAATATCGGGTGAATTTTTAAAAATAAAATACTGATTCTCCTTGTTGTTTGATAATGAATCAACGTGTAAAATAAATAAGTTGTAAACTTCTATTTTTATACATTTTTCGGTAATTCACATTTGCAGATCATAGTGATACAAAATTTGATACCCCAGATGGTTAAACGGAATTCATAAAGCAAGTGAAAACAAAGATTGACTTCGTGGCTTATAATAATGTGACTACTTTAGTCTTTACCCAAAGAAACTGGTGATGCTGGTGCAACATCGGATACTTTAGATGATTCGATATCTACAAGTAGCAAGAGAAAAAAGATTGACGAGTTCACGGCTGATAGTAATGAAATTTTACCTGAAAAAATAGGTAAATTACTTTTTAATCTATATATTTAAAAAAAAAACTATTCAGGTTAAAATTGAACCACTTTCTAGCACGTAAACGGATATCTTAATCAGCGTCTGACCCACGTTTTTTTTATTGGTATTTAGTATTTGGTTGACAATCATCGGTACTCGCCGTTGTTAGTGTTGCCCATAGAGTAATATACTTATTGTGTACGCCCTTTGTGTGTATGTGTGAGGTGTGTGTGTGTGTGGGGGGGGGGGGGGGGTCTAGTGAAGAGGATACGCGTTTTGGCCGTTCAGTTCAATTACAATCTGAATACTATAGCACACAGGATACTGCAACTAAAAAGTCCGCTTTAAAATAAAACTGTTTAAAAAAAAACTAATACAAATCGAAAATGTCTATTATGTTAATAAATAGCTAAATAGCTATATTTATAGCTTATTTACCTTCTAATTTTGTGAAACTATCTATTTTTAGTATGTATTGGTTATTTATAAAATTGATCTCAAATGTATAATGTATACAACTATATCCAGATCCAAGGTGAACGAATCAAGATGATAGTAAAAAAATTTCAACAACCAGTCTCGGTTTCCTGACTTGCTTACTTTTGATCATAATGACGTTTAACACGGCGCCCCGTTTAGACAATAAAGGAACAGAACCATCCGTATGTACATAACAATATCATAATAATGGAAAGTATCCATTAGTTTTATATAATACGATCAAAAAAAAATGAGACAATTTGTCCAAAAAAATTTTTTTAAAAAAATAGTATAATAATTTTGTAAGAAAATAAATAACAATTATAATAAATAAGTAATAATTATGCGTAATTATATTATACTATAGTATTAGATACCATTAACATATTTTAAAAACAAGTATTTAAAAAAAAACTCTATTTTATTGACTAGGTGCTTCTTAATATAATAATATAGTCATACAGGTTATAATATTTTATATTAAATAAGCACATGTGTTTAAATATTACGTCGAACTACTAATTACATGTATATACATCATATATTAATTATATCTATGCAATACCATATTAGCACATTGTTGAACACTAAACAGAGAAAACGCTTTAGATTTATTGTTATATCATCTAATACTTATTACATTTCGCTTTAGATCTCACAACAACAGTACAAAAAAAAAAATGTATTTAATTAAACATAATATCACAGCGTGTAGTTGCTAAACATCATTCCATTGCCTATTGAATTTCAAGGTTCAACGATATTACAGATTGCCGATTTGCACTTGGGAACAATTCTCTGTGAACACATAATATAGGTAACGTTGTTTTTCATTGTTGTTGTGTATACGGCGTATAATATATAAAGTACAGTCATTAAAAACATCAAATTAGTTTTATATTTGTATTTAGTCAGTGCTTATAGATCGAATTATTTGCGGGAGGCCGTGGGGGCTTTTAAAATGTATATGATATTCTCTTAAAAGACGATTCGTGGGACGATAATGCAGCAGTAGGCAATTGTAGGATAATGTACTTACTTGTTGGTATTATAATATGTCCAAGCGAAAATTATTTTCTTTCAATCTCTGTTTAATTTTCATTATAATCGGTACCGGAACCAACTTTTATGGTGGTCGTCAATTGAACGATTTGAACGTCGAGGTTTTTTGTTCGTCGCAGACAATTCACTAGCTATATACACGAAACAAGGTACATTTTATTAAATAACAAACCACAATAATCAAAAGGTTCTCCTTAGTAGTTGGTATTATTATATGTCTGGTCGTATTATTTATTTGTCATGGTTTTCAATCAATATGAAAACAATACTGTCTAGATGCATTTCGCTAATGAGCTTGTACCCTACAGCCAGTTTTGGGGATACTGCGATCAGCATTATGTTATCTTTTAAAAGTATTTTTCTGAAGACAAACCCCACAAGGTATTTGTATTATATAAACTATTAAAACAATTTTTTTACAAATCTAAAATATCGTAAAAAATGACTATGAGTTTATTAAGTCGGCGAAGCATGATGTGCAATTTTATTATTCCTTTTTAAATTTTTAAATTTAAATTATTTAAATTATAAAAACCCAAGGGCATAGAGTACAAATGTAGATTTAATTAAGTGGGTAATAAATTCGTAGATACAAAAATGCCAATTAATATAAAGTAATACAAATAATATAAACAGTTCAAGATTATTAGTTTCATTTTTTTAGAGAGTACAAAAACAAATTGAGATAAATAACAACATTATACGCTCCAAATTATATGTGTACTATAAGTTTATAATATATATTATATTTACATACATTTTTTGTTTATTATACACCTATTGTTATAAATATAAAATGTGTATATAAATATAATATATATTACAGACTTATAATACATAGGTACATATATTTCATATATATATTATGTTCTATATAAAATATAAATTATACATAGTATAATATGCTAAATACACATATCATTTGGTGCGGCAATCGTGTTATGATTTTAAAGGGTAAAAAGGGATCGATTGCACATTTTGGAGTGCAATCGTGTTGAAATATTAGTCGGATCAAAAAAGGAAAAAATGCGCAATCATTTTGCAGCCTTATTAGGTTCTAAGACATTGCGAGGGATATTTTCTTTTATTATTAATTATACATTTATATAACATACTCGTAAAGATTATGACTTCTGAAAGACAAGGTAATACTTGTGTTTTCTGTACATTTTTTTTTGTTTTCTCTTAAAAACAACCGTTAGGAGTATTATTAACAATATAATAAAACGAGAGCACATTTCTGTTTACAATCAACAATTGATGGGATGAAGAACTATATTATATATTGTAATCAAATCGAAACAAAAAGCTCGAGTAAGTGGAACAAAATTGTATAATATTCTACACTCATACGTGGCTCAAAGCTGCCTACAATATATAGAAAGTCGTTCGAAGCATAGTATATAAATACCTCAGAGGTCCCTTTTTACACTGCACCTTGTTGGAAATACCTAATATTTTAATTATTAACATTTCGCGTGGAATCGTAGGTTCGAGAGAGTCGATATTCTTTTATTGTAATACGCATATCTGTGTAGAAAATACTAAATAGAAAGTGTGAATTTCAATAAAATATGCGATGCATAATAATTTATAATTATATATACCGTAATATTACATGTATTTATACAAATATACAATATAAATTGTGCCCCGCTTGTATTTTGGAAATCATTTGGAATCCACACACTTCACTCAACTCGAATAAAATTTAAAATCGTGTAGGTACCTCTATGAATCATAGAATATGCAAAAACCTATATGTGTATTATTTACGTACGCATATATTAAGTATTTCATTGGTAAGAATATTTTGTAAAATGTTAAAAATTCTTGAGATTATCACGAAACATTAGCAACGGGAATTCACAAAAGTGAATGGGTACCTATATTGTATACCGGCTGAATTCGTCATATTATCCCGTTAGTTGAAAGTTTCATGAGGTTCGGTGGTCGTAGAATTCGTTACCTATGATTTGTTTTCGTAGCCGATCATGTTAGCCATATACGTATTGCATGTTTATAAAACTACAATTTCTTACGTTTTTTGCCAAATTCCCGTTGCAGACGTCGAGTATTCCACTTTCGTTTCACTTTCATGATGTTTGTCACCATCCATGCAGCGATTTTCTCCTTGTAAGTGCTATCCTTCGCTATCACTCTCTCCCACGCGGCCGTCTCCAATTTCATGTCGGCTTCCATTCTCAATTGAAAATCCGTACTGTCCGTGTAAACTGAATCATGTGACCGGCACGCTTCGTCTAGCTTATTGATGCCAAGCTGACCTCGAGCAATGCGTTCCAAAAAGTCCGTACCCGGTCCACAGAAATGATAGCCCGGAAAATGAGCTGAGTGCAAAACATTTCAACAATTTATAATATTTTGTTATACAGTTATGTACGCAGAATAGTATTTTCAACTGACTGTGATCTTTATAGAGTTGAACGATTAAGTTTTAATGCGAAAGATGGTACATTTTAAGATGCCTATGATAATACAATACTATACACGCATTTGATGTAAGTACATCTCCAATATTAGATTTTGTCAGATTTCAATGCCTACAGGTAATACATAATTTTACTCTCCTCGAATAAAGAGAAACATTTTACTGTTGCTTAATTATTGTCATTATTCATATGTATATAAACACATTATGCATACCAATTTTAAAAACCTAAAATTATATTAATATTAAAATATATTTTATTATTTATGAATTATTAAAGTGTTTATAATATTTACATAGGTATGATGTGTCCCGGGAGAAATAACCGGCCTCCTTGGTGGTGTCATATTATAGTGAACCCTAAGTTAAGGAAAAAATCATCCCTTTATAGAAGGGAGTCACACTATTTTTTTTACAGCTTTCAATAATGATATATTTTTGACAATTTTTTTCTCCATTTTTAATTTAGTTAAAATTATTTATTTATTGTTTAATTGTGTTTGTTAATTAACAGCACACTAAAATAGCAATAGAATTCATTAAAATTAAAATAATGGTTACGGTAAAAAGTTGAAAAGTTTTGATGATGCATCAGAAAATTGTGAGATAAGTTCACTTTGTTTTAAAAAAAGAAAATTTAATTAATTGCTCACAACTAAAGAAATAAAAGAGTTACCCCTCCCCCCCAACCTCTTAAAAGGGTTTTTCATAACTTTAGATTTACTACCTACATCATATGACGCCGTTCGGTCACTTCCTCCCGAGTCCCATTGTATATATAACTATAAACTACAAATAATACAAGTATGCGGAACTAGGTTTTTTAACGATTTAGAATTGACTCTTGTGTGACGTGTATAAGCATTTCTGTGTAGGGGATTTGAAGACATACAATTAAGATATCTTTTGAAATGACGATCACGTGGATTTTAGCTAAAACGCATGTAAACAATTAAAAAAAATCTTTCGTAAAATTGGCTTTATTTGATTTAGTGTATTAAAATATTATTACATTATAATTTTCAATATCGCGGCTGTATGCGAAAGTACCTTACATATAGGTATATTATTGTTATTTTTGCTTACTTTCTCTTGATTTTGTCTGTCCATGGCAACTAAATGTAAACCAAATTAAAAAATTCACCACTATAAGTTTCATAACCATTGATTAAATTGTTTTTAAAACCGACGAAACAAATAAATACAAATGGTACAAAAACACAAAGATAATGAACCGCGAAAATTGCTGCAATACAATACCATGTAGTGTAATAGTCGTAGCCTACGAGCGTCACGCGCTTCGACCACTGCTACGTCTACATGAAAACTAACACGCGATCTCAAATGTACTACACACTCGTCGTGTACCCACTAAACTGGTTCCAAAGCGATTTCGATGTGTACTATATAGCCATCGTATTTAGACTTCAAAATGACCGCCGTGGAACGTTACAAATATTGTACACTGTATATATGCATACGGTAATACATTTTTATGCAGTGTTTTTCCAACCGTTGGTTTTTCCCACGAACGTGCATTGTGTATGGAATCTGAACGCTTTGCAATTTTTCAGATGATATTCACAACTATTTACGATATATGTTTAACATTGACGGAATGTCAGCACATATATTATGCATTTTATTTTTGACGCGTAAAGTATTCGATCGTTTTTTTTTATCTGCTAGCTGTTCCGTACTGTACGATCATGGACAATCGGCGATTTGAATTTTGAATAGGTTGGACCTACCTATCAAATTCTTAACTTATTTCTCACAAAATTCTGTGACAAAGTAACCGTAAAAGCATAAAATGTACTTATATAAACAAATGTCGGTAAGTATTTTTAGTAATGCTGCTTTATACATTTTTTGTTGTTAAACATGCATACACACAGAATTTACTATACGTAATAACTAACAAGCATTATAATAATACCTTATCTATAATATAAGAAATGACAGTTAAAATCTTATAATTAATTCCTAGTTGTAAGGCAAATTGCTAAAATATACCTATTACACAAAATACAGGTGAATTTCAGTTAGAAATACTTACAAAATAAATAAAACAATGCTTAGATTAAAACTGATCAAAATATTGGTTTATTTTCAATTATTATCTATCAATTATTTTCTAAGCGAATTCGAATGAATTATTCCTAAGTACAATTTTGGTAAGTATCGTTTTTTTTTTAAGTTAAGGCAGTAGAATATTTAGTTTTTACAGAACATTTTCGTACAATTATCATTTTAACGTTGTAGGTAAAAAACATGACATATTGATTGTACGTATTAGGTTAAGTTATAATGCACACCAAAATAATTATTGTATTCTATCTATAAAAAAACCCATGAAATAAATATTTCTTCTATGTATGTATTTTAGATTCTGAGCGGAGCGATGAATGTCTTGATTGTACAATGATGTGTGTTTTTTATTTTTTTTTATAATTATTGTGTCTGTCATTACGGTTTAGGGCAGTAAAAGTGCTTCGATTCTCTTCAACAACAATTTTTTGGTAGGAAAGTGAATCTAGTTAGTGCATTCGGGAGGTCAAAATTTACAATACCTAAGAGTTTTCAAAAGTGACAAGAAAAAAAACAAAAAATTAAGGAAAACGGGAATTTTTATACAAAACCATTTTTAGAAAAAATTTATTTTGGTTTTTAATGTAACTATAAAAAAGATGACTATAGATATATGACATTTTCACTGAATGTTTGTGTTAGAATTTTCTGTACACCATTACATTTTTAAAATATATTGAATCTTGTTTAACTATCTTGTTTGCATTTGAAATATTCGATTATTATTAGTTTTTTCGATTAATTTCTATAAAACAATGTTAGATCATTCAAAACACTTGAAAATTTAATACAAGGTTCCTCATAAATTTTTGTTATTGGAAATTAAAAAAAAGTTGAGTGTAAGCCCACAATAATTTTTTTTGATAGTCTGAATTTTAAATTTTGACAAAATACTTAAAAATCACGAAAATTTGCAAGGTTAAAAATTAAAAAAGTTAGAATTTCATACGATTTTTTTTTCATATCTAAGATTTAATAATTTAACACAAGATTTCTTATAAGTGTGTCTACCTTTATCAAAAAAAAAACAATTCTATCAGAAAGTCAAATTAATTTTTTAAGTGTTTAAAGTTGAAATGCATACAATATTGAATATTCACTCATCATTTTCTCATGTGGTGATGTTCTTATTTTGCTTTAATTCAAAAATGAATAAATGTAGATACATGAAATATACAACAATTATATTTATTTTCAAATTTGACAGATATGACAAATTTTTAAAATATGACTCAGTTTGAGCTGTTTAAGGAGACATCTTCAATTTTCATTTTTTTTTTTAGTTTTTTTTTTTACAATTGTCAATAAAATTAATACGGTTGGGTCAAAAAGCATGAACATTGAGTACAAGACTCTTGATATATTGGTACACTAGCAGTGAAAAAAGCCAATATAATAAAATATAATTTTTTTATAAGCATTTAAGGTTCAAATGTTGACAAAATTTATCAAATTGAAAGTTGAAAATTGAAAAATGATTTTGTAGTTGAAAATTAAAAAAAAAATTCAATTTTTATGGCTAAGAATTGAAAATATAAAACAAGGCTCCACCTAAGCAGTTTTTTCCGTTACTAAAAATAAACAAAGTTTTTTTCATAGATATTTTAAGTTGAAATTTAGACGAAATCACATATTAACACAAAGAATAACGATTTTAGTCTTTTTGTTGTAATTTGGTTTCAAAGTAGCCCAATTGTATGTAAGTGTGTATACTATTTTTCCAGCAACTCTGATAATTTAAGAGTGATATTATAAATAATATTAATTCAAATTAACAGCTACCGTATAATTAATAAGTAATAACAATATAAAAAATCCTAGACTGACATACTGTTTCCTCCCAGAATCGTTTTTCGTAAATCGTATTCAACGATATTATATCAAATTTGATATCATCCATTACAGCAACCTTCTAGACACCTAATGTACAGAAGAGCGACATCTACTTACCCGCTTTTTTTGTCTATGAAAGTGTACAGACTAAACGAAATAAAAAAGATAAGTTAGGAAATATTCTTTATACAGGAGTAAAAAAAGAATAAAGGGAAAATCCTTAAGACAAACCTGTCCATACTGGCAGTTGACGGTACGCTTATTGTTTTTGATTTACCTATTACTCATATTATAATATAATATAGGTACGTATTACCTACTTAAGTATATTATGTCTGTGTGCGTGTGATGGACTTACGTGTCTTAAATTTGTAATGTTTATATAAGATATTATAATATAACAGGAGTGTGTTTATTTTTATAACCTTTTTTATTATTGATAAGAACGATGAATCTATTTTATTATTCTAAGTATATACCTACGCCTGTTGGCTATTCCACGAGTTTCAAATTTAAATTTAAATTTATTCTACGCTCCTGCAGTATCTTTGTCAACGCTGTGCCTATACGTTATAACTTAAAATTGTATTTTTCACTTATTCTTCAAGGTGATAGTGGGCCCCGCTGACCATGTGAATATGTGAATGTTGTACACAATGAATGCGGGGAAATTTTTTTAAAGAGTGTTGATCATAAACTGTGATGATAACGTAGGTACTTATTTACACAACGAAACATTCACATTTATTTATTTATTTATTTTTTGGCAGCAAATTTATGTTTTTGACACACGGATATGTCGAGTGTGGGGTGGAGTGCCAAAAAAAAAAAAAAATGTCCCTATATGATAATACAGCTGTAAATACCTGTATATTGTAATATTTAGAATGCAGAAAAACACAACACACGCACGCATTCTACATCTCTAAGAGTTGGTGTTCTGTAACACGTCAAGTGCAGGCACAACAATCCACTCTATAATTATTACCTACGTCGGATTCCTGGTTTTTCGAACTATTTATTCAGATATTATATCTATTCAGATTTTCCCATCACTCATTTGCAATAATGAATAATATTACTGAAATAGAGTCTTAAATATTATTGTAATTTTTTACAGATTGCGAGCGGTAATGCCAATAATACGTGTGATACGACCGGAGAACGCGGTTCGTTGACACACGGCGAGTCGAACGAATGGCGGCGGACGAAAATTGGCAGACTGGACGACGCGACTCGAAGGCGACCGATGCTGCGTGCGATTCGTATAATACGCGTCCGCGACATATCGGTGACCGGCCGAACACCTCTGCGTGGTATCTAAATATTTTACCGCCGCCGCCGAGGCCTTGGACGGATAATAATATCTTATGATATTATTTCCATTAATATCGGCGGGAATTATATTATTGTAGGTAGGTATAGGTACATAGGTACGTCGTTTGATCGAGGCCGGCCACCCGACCGACCCGACACGAGGTCACGCACCGCGTTATGGCCGACCCGATTCACGGCCACCAATGCGCTCGCCAACTTTTCTTAATAATATTTCAAGACCCGTGAGCCCCGGGCGATCGCGCGACTCGGCCATATTCTCAAACCGCGAGATCGGTATGCGCATTGCGCTCTCACTTCGTCGTTTATCTCGATCTCTATAAGGCGCTAGTACTCGTGTGTATGGCGTGATTCGGAAGTTGTGTGAGGTGATGAGGTAGGGCGATGTTTACCCGCCCCCCGCCTAGAAATTTGGTGGCTGGGGCAACATGAATTATTTTCCCGAAGGAAAAATATAAGCCCTAACTTATCGAGAACCACAAAACATTGGGCATGTGCTGAGAACTAAATTTGCTCTGTTATTTGTAAACAGTTATTAATAATTACCTACCAAATAAAAGTCGCTATACGCCGTGGGTGACGTCGAATTTAAACAATATGTTCAATAAAGATTAATAAACAAGGTTGAACTGGTAGGGGTAATGGGTAATGTTTAATAGCTCTTTAACAGCCATGTCCATAAGCACGCGAGTTGCATAATAATTTATAAAAACAATGATAATGAATTAAAGATAATAACGGTACAAGCACAATCAAATATAATATAATTACTAATTAGTCCCACAACCTGTGTACATTATATCTATAACAATATGGCTGTATAAATCGTTTACAGTTTTACTATAATATTGTAATATAATAAATAATTTAGTATTAGTATTAATATATAATATTAGTAATATAGTATTGTCAATTAATGAGAGGAACTGCTAATATTACTACTTTAAAAAAGGTTTTTTGATCTATTTCATAGGTATTCATGACAAAAAAAAACTATTGATAAAATAATTTTCCACCCACCCGGGAAAAGATGCACTTTATAATAAATAAAATATAGCATAGTTAAAATTTGCGATTTGGCTCAAAAAGGAATGTTTGACTATCGACGAGCTACTGGAAGGTTTTATTCGACA